AAAGGTATAGACCCGGTTCTAGCCGGTCTAATGCAGTGTCAGTTGTTGCCCCAAGTAGAGTCGGACCATTGGCTGGTTCATGGTCGAATTGGTTGAGCCAGCCTGCTCGATCCGGTATTTTAAACTACGCTCAAAGCAAAGTGTTTTTAAAAATAAATAAACATAGTATTACGTATCAATCTTATTTTATTTTGATTAAAAATGTAAAAGAAAAAAAACTAAAATTATTTTTTAGGAAATGACTAAAACCTACAAAAGCCTTTGATGACATAATATGCGGAGGCATAGCATCACATCAAAAGAGCTTTTCCTTTTAATTTACATTTTTTACATTAATTACAAATCACTAAAATAATATTACTACACCAACCAAGTATTTAAGCTATATATTTTGAAGTCCCATGATATGATAATAGAAGCATCAATTTTAATTTTTTTTTGTTCTTAATAAGCTCGTGTATAAAATAACTTGTTTATTTAATTATTTAATTAATTTGGGCCAGAATAAGCCTAATAAGACAAAACAAGTATTTATTCGTGTTTTTCTCATTTTTAAATAGAGCTCAAAAAAATATTAATGTACAGATCATTAGTTCGAATAACAAATAAAACACGAGCTACCTACTAAGTCGAATATGAGCTATTCAAAAAGAACTCATTTCTGATAGCGCTAACTGCATGGAGCGGAAAAAAAATGGGTGAAAAATACATAATTGTTGTTAACTAACATTCTCCATATGCACATCCTTACTACAGTATAACAAGACTAAGATAAGATTTCCAAGTTGAAAGTCTACCTTACCATTAAATGATTTGAGAGCAGGGCTGTCAAAACGGCTCGTTGTTCGTGAAAAGCTCGTATTCCACATTTCAAAAGTTAAAATAATGATATTTTTAATGTTCGGTGAAAGATTTGAGTGGAATAAATGTAAAAAAACAAAGTCTAGGCCTTAAATATGCAAATACACAGAAATTTGGTAGTATGATGCAAATGCCCCAAAATAAAATCAAAATCAATGGCAAAAGAACACCAATGCCATTGCAAGATAGATATATCAGCAATACAATCACATGGTCTTGCAGCTTTATAATTAAAAATTCTACTTACCATACAAAGTCTGTATAAGTTTTCATCAGACAAAGAAAGAATAACTGAAGAACTACATGTACAATGACTTGGGATTACTAAAACAATGAACCTTGCAAAGCTTATCACCAAATAAGATAAAATCAATAGGAAATAGTAATCATCTATCATGCTTTTACTGGGCATCCTTTGGCTACCACTCCTGGGGCAGTAGGGCAACCTGCAAGTGGGCAGAAGTCACTTGCTTCCCCTCCCACCCAATCTATTCCACTGATGTCATGGTACTGCAAGCAGAAAAAGATGAGAACTCCCATGAAAGCAATGCCGGCATCCAGAGCGGCCGACATCACGTACGTGTGCCTCGCCCACCATTCCTTGTATTTCTTGTAAATGTAGTAGTTGAAGAAGATGCCCACGGCGCCCCACGTGATATAGTTAACCGTGTGCGCGGGGGGGATGCCGCCGGCGCCTCCGAGAATGACCGGTATGTGGACATACTTGAGCAGCTTCTGATTGGGGAAGGCACGAGAAAGCCACCAGAAAGGAACGGGCAGCAAGAAGCCGGCAATGAAGAAGTAGTTCAAAGCAGAGTAGAGACCTAGTTTCCCGAACATTCGCACCGGGCCGACGAGTCCCCATATGATGGACGCGTTGTAGAAGACGTCGTCGCCCGGGCATGTCCATGGGCTGTCGGCTGGAAGTTTATCCGTGTCGCATATGTTCTCAATTGACTCGAGAAGAAACCATGCTGTTCCAAAGTAGACTGAGGCTGCTATCACTGTCCCTACTAACTGAGATGTTTTTCAAAGCAAATATATAATGATATTAGGGAATGTGGGCTGAACAGTATAAATTGCTATTAAGTCGTTATGATTAGGGGTCTAAACGATGCTCAGTTCGTGTTCGGCTCGTTTATATTTCTAGCTCAAAAAGTGCGTTCGTGTTCGGCTCATTTGCTGTTCACGAACAAAGAGTCATTTTAACAACCCTAATTATATAGCTATAAGACACAAGACAATAAGTATTTGAACAAGATTTAAAAATTATTATTTATATTAAAACATCATTTGAATCTAATTTAATAATTTTTATTCTATTTTCTTAATCAATATTTTAATTGATTATAAATCTCCTTGTAGTCAATTAAATTTTTTAAAATACTTATTTATATATATATATATACACATGATGAGTAGTATTTCGAGCCAAAACGAGCCGAACACGAATGAACACATCTTAGTTCGTGTTCGGCTCATTAATTTATCGAACGAAATTAACGAGCCGAACACAAGCTTCTTAACGAGTCGAGCACAAGCTGTTCGCGAACAACGAGCCGTCTTGACAGCCCTAGTTATAATTCAGGTAATGGATTTGCTGCTGCTTATGTGGAAGATTAGTGTATCATTTTACATGAAGAGATTTTCTATATAGTAAAATGCAATTGAAATGCAAGAGAAGAATGAACCGTATAAGGTATTAACTGCGCTTAATATTACCATGCCACACAAAATTTCTTATTATTTACATTTCTAACACTTAAGGTTTGATATTTACATTTATAACATTTCGGTGTCATGAACCATGCATGCGAAGGTGTACTTCACTTGTAAAAAAA